CTAAGCAGTGGTAATATTTGCCCTCCAGTGAACTCAGCTGTGGTAATGTTTGCCTTCCCGTTATCTCAACTGTGATAATATTTGCCCTGCAGTGACATCAGCTGTGGTAATATTTGCCCTGCAGTGACCTCAGCAGTGGTAATATTTGCCCTCCACAGTGACCTCAGCTGTGGTTTTATTTGCCCTCCAGTTACCTCAGCAGTGGTAACATTTGCCCTCCAGTGACCTCAGCAGTGGTATTATTTGCCCTCCAGTGACCTCAGCAGTGGTATTATTTGCCCTCCAATTACCTCAGCAGTGGTAATATTTGCCTTCCAGTGACCCAGGTTTTCACACCACCAGTCAGTCCTTGTTATATGCTGCTGAAGTTCACTGTGCTCCTTTTCCATGGCTCCTATTTCTTCTTTTAGTTTGTTCACAATCTACAGACACAAGAGACATTTTACTCAGCAAACATACATATTATGGGTATGACAACTGAATCTGTAGTATAGAACTTATGTCAGCACTGTTTTCTAGGTCACCTTTTTGTCTGGTTTGGGTGCGTTCTGGATAGAGCCTAGAGCCTGGCGCTTATACTCCAGTTTGTCATGAAGTTGGCAAAGTTTTGTAGCAGCATAGCTGGCCTGCTCAGTAATTCCTTTAGTGCCCTCATCACACACATCCTCACTAGGATCTAGACCCTGGCACTGCACAGATACAATAAATAATTGTTATTCACAAGATGAACCCATGTTGTAGCATATAAACACAGACCAAAGCAGAACATGAGTGAAAACATTCAGAAGTGTGTAAACTTGTTTCATTTATACATATGTGCTTAACTGACCCCTTCTCCTTTTTCCTCCGGGCTATACTGTGATTGGCTGTGGGCCTCGTCTCGTCTGATCAGCTTATCGTAGAGGTCAGAAACCAGGAAAGATGGGTAGTAACGCTCCCTCATCGTCTCCGTCACCTGGAGAACAGGGAAGGACTTTCACTGGTACTTTTAATAAACAAAACATCAAAACAACAGAACAATCTTCAACTTGTTGTCTTACTAGAAAAAAAAAACACTTATGTGCCACAGTTCTGGTGCTGAATTGGACAAATCATTTACTGACAGTCAGAAAGAATTCTGAACGAGACAAGTGACACATATCAAATTGGAAATAAATTATATCTCTGATAAATGTCTATGCACAGAAATGTTACAAATAATAAATGTTTTTCCAAAGTTAAAGCATGTTTGAGTTTATGTTGCAGATTCATTTCTTTACAAGTTCAAATAGAAATGCAATAAAATATTCCTCTGTTTTTGATGAAGGTCTACTATGATGCAAATAATCCGTGGGTGGTCAGTGCACGGTGTGGGTGGTCTTCTGCCACTGGTGGTATTCTTGGTGAGATCTTCAGAGCATATTAAAAACCTAAGGGGCTCCCATCTCTTTACATGTGATAAGACAAAACAAAGATGGTCTTGGGCGTGCATCAGTCTGAAGCGAGGTTGTGGTGGTAGCAGAAGGTCCTGCTCACATCGGTGTGTTTAGGTCAGGGTTGAAGCAGGACTGCCTTCATGCCTACATTATGATGTGATAGTGACACGGTCCTATAAACAACATGTGATATCCAAAGCAGTAGCACTGTGCTAGCATGGCATGATGTTCCAGTTTAAGCTGGCTCTACCACAGCAAGCAATGTAGATAGACACAATACATATGCATGGATGACAAGATAGTGAGATTTGTCCATGAACACTTCTAGATAGTTTCCATAGTCCTGATAAGATGTTACAGTTTATGTCAGCCGGTGCAACTCTGATAAGCGTTCACTGAAGTTCGGGGGGGGGGGGGGGGCAGGGGTGGACAGAGCAGAGCTTCGTGATATACATATCCACTAGGAGCCATTTGAGATAAGTTGGCCTTTCCAAGGCCAAGCAGGGAGGTCAGATTCAGATAAACAATTGTTTGGGGCAGACAGACTCTGATTTCAGTCTGCCTTCAGTTCTGCTGGTACTCTCGATGGTGAATCCAAACAGCCAGATTTGTGGATATTCCGCCGGTCCGTGCTTATTAACTTTCTCCAAGGTCGAAACCATCATGCTGGCGAGTTCCAGGAGCTGCAAGTGGCCTATGATTCTCAGAAATAGCATCCAGCTTACAGTTGAGTACGCTAAGCATACGAGTCTGAGCGCTCGAAGCACAAATTAATCCTTCACATAAGGCTGGCAGCTTTACCAGGGCCAAAACTCCTGCTGACGTCTTTCTAATTTGTCGATATCCTAGGCATCCGCCGATTCCAAAAAGCAGAAACCCTATTATCATAAATCTAATAATGTACACATCTTCTACGTCCTCCACAGACAGTACAGATAGGCACATCATCTTACATTGCCCCCAGGAATCCATGACATACCCAGCTTCAAGGGTCCATTCAGGGCATGATGGTTCTCCAGCACCCTGTCTCTTGGTCAAAATGTTTTTATTAAATGCTTTGAGAAACCAGCTGACTAAATGAGGGTGGAGGCAGGTGTGGGTGCTTCACTTTTCCCACCAACATTTTTGTTGTAGGACCAGGGATTCAAACAGACAACCTTGCAATCACGGGATTGCCTTAAAACCGTGGTGCCAAGGTTGGCACCAAGGTTATGGGTAATTTATGGATGAACCATAAATCATCCTGCATGCAAAATTCTGCCTTTTATTTTGAAACCTGTCTGTTTTTATTCTGAAAGTGAGTTTCCATCAGAAGCTTCCTTTTACAGAAGAACCTCAGAACTGGTACGCAGAGTTCATGGGAAATACTACAAAAAAAATTTCCACAAATGTTTTGTGAAGGTTCATTATTTACATTAAATGCTTTATTTTAAAGCAAAGTCACAATATGGCTGGTCTGTCCAGTTACAATATTTAGTCTTTGCAGTTAATGAAATCATATTTAGAGCTAATTATAAAATTTATAACTGGAAAAATGTAGTCTAGTCTGTTGGTCCAGCCTGTTGCCCCAGGTCAAAGGGTTTGTACCGGTAATAAAAAGGTCGTCAGCTTGAAGGGGACCTGAAGAAACCCTAAAAACAGCATTTACCTGCTCCTGTAACCGGACAAACACCTGAGTCCCTCGGTTTCCCACCAGACTCTGCTGAATCTCTTTGAGGAGAAGCTTTTCCACTGGAATATCTTTGCTCTCCACAAAGAACTTCTGGTAGATTTCTCCAACGATCTGGGGCACCTCGTTCTGTCAAACAAACAGGAACTAAAATACCTCTTTATAGTAACATTTCCAAAACAATGTAACATATCACAGGTAAATATGATTTAGTTGTAAGAATGTAAGTAAACTTAAATTAGAGTTAAACCTGACAATATAAAAACATCTTTGACTTTAGAGCCTCGCACAGAACTAAGGCCCTGATTACACGGGAACGACCTCTGGAAATCTTCGTATCTTGTTCCACGTTTAATGGGATTAGCAGGATTACATGGAAATGTTGTAGTTTCCATGCCAGGCAGGGTTGCCAGATAAGTAATGATTACCTATTGTACTGTGACTTTAAAATGATTCTATTTTGACCCATACTGTCCTCTTTGCCGAGTGAGGCTTTTGAACGATGAGCTGTTTTGTGTTTAATGAACATGTGCACAGAAAAGGAAGGGGTGAAAAAATATTTTCATGTTTATCTGGCAACCCTGCAGGCTCAACTGCATGCAGTATCAGCATGGACAAAGTTACACCCAAACTGGTGAATACAGGAACGTTCCTTTGGATCCAGGATGTTGTTGGTTTGTGAGCAGCAGTAATTCTGTTTCTCTTCAGAAGTAATGTTTAATAAATGTTAGGACTCTATTCTTTACTAACAAATCCTCCGCTCTGGACGCATTTCACCCACAGCACGCAGCAACAAAGAGGATAAACTCAAAGCGAGAGCGACACCTGCCCCTCTTTCCTCTTTTGCATTGACAACATTTTTTAGTTTTATCGATTGTCAAAGCACAAGTTTGATGTTTTTTTATTTGTTGGAAAAACAGATGTTTAACAAAAGTTAGGACTCTATTCTTTGCTAACAAAATATATTTTATGTCAATAAATAACTTGTCAGGTTCTTCTCTTGTGAACACGTTCCCCTGGACCAGTGCTTCTCAATTATATCCGGTTACGCCCCCCCCCTAGGAAGAAGAAAATATTTTGCGCCCCCCCAACTCTTCGCCGCGACTGTAAATAGTATAATTTGTCTAAAAAATTGTTATAAGTACACCTCTGCATAACATTGTGTCCTTATTAACATTAAATAAATAAATAAATATAGATCAACTTACAACAAAGATTATTAACACTGTTTTATAGTCTGTAACAGAAAAGGCTTAAAGTGCATCAATTTGCCTGAAATTAAAAAAATATATATTCTTATTTAAACTGTAAACATTTTTGACCATTTGATACTGAACAATCAAATTAAATACAATCAATAAATAATAATAAATTCAAATTGATCAGCAACATTTTAACTCAGGAATGTTATATACAACACTTTGACCTACAAAACAAAAATGAATTAAACAATTTGGGCTGTTTTTTTGTTTTTATTCAAAATGAGGAAGTCAGGATTAATGGCTACAATGAGTACGTTTTGCAGTGCACAGCATTTTGAAGCGGAGTTTGAAACATGACCCTGCAGCTCTCAGCTCCTGCTCGATGTTTAGCTGGACCTGGACCTGGACTCAGAGCAGCAGAGAAGCAGCAAAGAGCTCAGAGCGAGCTGGCTGGGGGGGGTCGGGTCCATGGGGAATGCAGCGCGCTCACAAAAGAAGAACCTGACAAGTTGTTTAATGACATAAAATATATTTTGTTAGCAAAGAATAGTCCTAACATTTGTTAAACATTTGTTTTTATAACACATTTAAAAAAAAAAAAACTTGTGCTTTGACAATCGATAAAACTAAAAAAATGTTGTCAATGTGAACGAGGAAAGAGGGGCAGGTGTCGCTCTCGCTTTGAGTTTATACTCTTTGTTGCTGCGTGCTGTGGGTGAAATGCGTCCAGAGCGGAGGACTTGTTAGTAAAGAATAGAGTCCTAACATTTATTAAACATTACTTCTGTATTAAAAAACACAAAAATTGTGCTTTGACAAAGTAAAAATAAATTGTTAAAGTAAAAGCGGAAGAGGGGCAGGTAACGCTCTTGCTTTGAGTTTATTCTCTGTCGCATGCGTGCTGTGGGTGACAAGCGTCCAGAGCGTCACCATCTGAGGAGGTGTCACAGCGACACGGTTCAAGCATGGCTCCCCAAACAACAAGACAGACATATTTGTTCATAACTTTATTATTAGTAAGACTGAGAGTTGCTGGATTTTAGCAAACAGTTGCTGAACGCACATTGACACAATGAGAATGGTGCAAAAAAACCAAACAAAAAAAATACGACTCCCTACCGCAAAATGTTACCCGGGTCAAATGCGCCCCCCCGGCATTGCTACGGGCCGGGCGCACCCCACTATTTGAGAAGGACTGCCCTGGATCCACACACACACAAACACACACACCTGCCAGCTCGCTCTGAGCTCTTGGCTGCTTCTCTGCTGCTCTGAGACCAAGTCCAGGTCCAGGTCCAGCTAAACATCGAGCAGGAGCTGAGAGCTGCAGGATCATGTTTCAAACTCTGCTTCAAAAAGCTGTGCACTGCAAAACGTGCTCATTGTAGCCATTAATCCTGACTTAATCATTTTGATAAAAACAAACAGCACAAATTGTTTTATTCATTTTTGTTTTGTAGGTCAAAGTGTTTTTTTATAACACTCCTGACTTAAAATGTTGCTGATCAATTTTAATTTATTATTATTTATTGATTGTATTTAATTGATTGTTCAGTATCAAATGGTCAAAAATGTTTACAGTTTAAATAAGGAAAGATTTTTTTTAATTTCAGGCAAATTGATGCACTTTAATCCTTTTCTGTTACAGACTATAAAACAATGTTAATAATCTTTGTTGTAAGTTGATCTATATTTATTTATTTATTTAATTTGATGTTAATAAGTGTACAATGTTATGCAGAGGTGTACTTATAACAATTTTATAGACAAATTATACTATTTACATCTAAAAAAAGTTCAATCTGGTCCTCTGGACATTCAAAAAAAAAAAAAAAGCAAAACAACAAAAAATGTAGAAACGTTTCGTCTCTCCAACACTTATGAACCTCTGAAAAGAGATCCAGGAAGTGGTTACAAGAAGAAGTTAATAGATTGCCTGAAAAATTTGGAGCAGGACAAGGCTATTGACCGTTTTCTGTACCACAGACTGTACCCAGGGGAGGCCACACCTAGTCTGTATGGTTTACCTAAAATCCACAAACAGGGTGTACCTTTAAGACCAATTGTTAGCATGATTAACTCTGTCACTTACAATGTTTCCAAATATCTGGCGTCTGTACTCATCCCTTTAGTTGGCAGCTCAGAACACCATGGACTTTGTGGATAAGGTGAGGGATGTCATCATGGAGACTGATGAAACAATGGTCTCTTTTGATGTCACATCACTCTTTACGTGCATTCCTGTTGATGATGCAGTAGAGGTGGTCAGTTTAAGATTAAAATCAGACACCACTCTGAGCAGCAGGACCACACTTTCTACAGAACAACTGTGTCAACTCTTGAAACTGTGCCTGCAGTCGACCTACTTCACATATGGGGAGCAATATTATAGGCAGAAACATGGGTGTGCTATGGGGTCTCCAGTTTCTCCTATTGTTGCCAACCTGTACATGGAGGAGGTAGAAAAGAGAGCCTTGACGTCCTTTTCAGGGACACCACCAAGTCATTGGTTCAGGTATGTTGACGACACCTGGGTTAAAATTAAATCTCAGGAAGTTCAACATTTTACTGACCACATCAACTCTGTGGATAAATACATCAAGTTCACACGAGAAGATGAAAAAAATGGCAAGTTGGCTTTCTTGGACTGTGAGGTCTCAGTCTCTGATAGAGGACATTTGCAAACTGAGGTGTACCACAAACCCACACACACAGACCAGTATTTGCAGTTTGACTCCCATCACCCTTTGGAGCACAAGTTAGGAGTCATCAGGACTCTGTA